ATCAGCCATGAGGGAGGCCAACTCACTGACTCTTCTGACTGTAGTAATGGCGATCAGGAAGGCAACTTTTATGGAAAGGTGTGAAGGTGCTGCCATGGTCTCAAATGGAGAGCAGGTTAAGGTGTTAAGGACAAGGTTGAGATCCCAAAATGGCACTTTATGAGCTTTATTGGGGGGAGGGGAAACCTTGAGACCCTTGAAGAATTTTTGGTGGTCAGATGAAAAGAAATAAATAGTGTGACCTCAACATTATCATGCTCACTAGAAATAGCTGCTAAGTGGACCTTTATCAATGAATTTGATAAATTTTGTTTCTTCAAGGAGAGAAGATATTCCAAGACAGTGAGCAGCTGTGTTGTACAAGGCTGAAGTGCTCTGTGGGCAGCCCCCTTAGGGAAACAGTGCTATTTCTGCAAATAGATATTCCTTGTACTTTCCTTACAACAGTTCATGATTAGAGTACGAACTTCGTCCAAAGATGTGAGGTCCTATGTAATCACTCTTGGAGGAGCCAAGCCTTGAGATGGAGTTTGTGGACATCGGGATGAAGAATGAGACCCTGAACCTGAGATGAATTGGAGGAGCAACTGACATCTGTGACAGGTAAGGAAACCAGGTCTGCCTGAGCCATGTGGGTGCTATCAGCATGACCCTGGCCCTGTCCTGTTTTGTTTTTTGTATGACTTTGTGGAGAAGGGGGAAAGGGCAGGAAGGCATATAACAGACTATGAGACCAGCTGATCATCATGGCATCTCCCATGCAACTCTTGCCTAGTCCCACTCTGGAGCAATATTTGGGGTCCTTTGCATTGTGGAATGTAGTGAATAAATCTATTTCCACAAAGCCCCACTTCTGGAAAATGGAATGTAGGGCTTGGGGATATATCTCCCACTTGTATTTCTGAAAAAATATTCATCTTAATTGATCTACGATGGCATTTTGCTTGCCTGGGAGATATACGGCTCATATGGTGACATGATGGTAAATGCACCAGTACCACAGGGCCACAGCTTCTTTGCATAGATGATATGACTTGACCCCATCTTGGTGGTTTATGTAAAACATGCAAACAGTATTGTCTGTGAGTACGCACACTGACTTGCCCAGAATTGAGGGAAGAAAGTACTTGCATGCTCTCCTTACTGTACAGAGCTCGAGGACACTGAAAATGGGTAACAGCCAACATGGATTTGTAAAGAACAAATCTTCAAGCCAATCTGATCGTTTTCTTTGATAGGATATCAAGCCTTACAGATAAGGGAGAAGCGGTAGGCATAGTATACCTAGACTTTAGTAAGGCATTTGACATAAGTCTAGCATGACTTTATCAATAAACTTATGGAAATACAGCTTAGATGGGGCTACTGTAAGGCGTGTGATAGCTGGCTGGATAACCAGTCTCAGGGTATGTCTATAATAGCTCATTAATTTGAGCTAGGTAGGCAAATCAGGCAACCGGAGTTGCAAATGAAGCCTGGGATTTAAATACCCCAGGCTTTATTTGCATGTTCCCGTCTGGCTGCCATTTTTAAATCCCCCTTAGTTCGAACGAACTGCCCGCAGCTACACACGGCAGTTTAAAGTTAATCCAAACTAAGTCCTTAGTTCGGATTAACTGTTACACCTCATTCCATGAGGAGTTGCCTGATTTGCCTACCTAGCTTGAATTAACAAACTAGTGTGGACATACCCTCAGAGAGTAGTTATTAACTGTCACAATCATGCTGTAAGGGCATAACAAGTGGGGTTCCACAGGGGTCTGTTTGAGACCAGTTCTGTTGAATATCTACATCAACGGCTTAGATGACAGCATAGAGAGTATGATTATTAAATTTGTGGATGATACCAAGCTGGGAGGGGTTGCAAGTGCTTTGGAGGATAGGGTCATAATTCAAAATGATCTGGACAAACTAGAGAACTTGTCTGAGATAAACAAGATCAAGTTTAATAAAGACAAATGCAAAGTACTCCACTTAGGAAGGAACAATCAGTTTCACACACATAGAATGGGAACTGATTGTCTAGGAAGGAATACTGCTGCAAGGGAATTAGGGGTCATAGTGGACCACAAGCTAAATATGAATTAACAGTGTGGTGCTGTTGCAAAAAAAAGCAAACATGCTTCTGGGATGCATTAACAGGAGTGAGAGAGCAAGATACGAGAGGCATAGGTTGGATATTAGGAAATACTTCCTAACTGTTCAGGTGGTTAAACACTGGAACAATCTGCCTAGAGAGGTTGTGGACTTTCCATCTCTGGAGATATTTAAGAGCAGGTTAGACAGACATCTATCAAGGATGATATAGACTGTGCTTGGTCCTGCCCTGAGGGCAGAGAACTGGACTTGATGATCTCTTGTGGTCCCTTCCAGTTCAAGTATTCTATGATTCTAGTATTAAATTTCAGAAAGGAGGACTACACAAAAATGAGCAAGTTCTTTAAACAGAAGTTAAAAGACACACTGCCAAAAGTGATTTCCTCTAAGCTGCATGGATGTTTAAAGACACTATAATATAGGCTCAATTTAAATGTATTCTTCAAATTAAAAAATAAATAGTAAGAGAACCAAAGAAGTGCTGCTATGACCCCCACATCCCTTTCTGCAGCACTCCTTCCTAGACAGTCACTTCCCATTCTGTGTGTGTCAAACGGATTGTTCCTTCCTAAGACGAGTACTTTGCATTTGTCCTTATTAAACTCTATCCTATTTACTTTAGACCAACTGTGGCCAACCCACAGCTCGCAAACCGCATGTGGCTCTTGCCCCCCAAAAGTGCAAGTCTCGAAGCCACTCCTGCGCCCACCCCCCAAAGCCACTCCTGCGCCCCCCCAATGGCCTCCACCCCCCGTCGGCTCCCCCCATCCATCCCGGCCTCCAGATTCCCTGTGCTTACTGGGTCAGAGCTGTGGGATTTTAAAAATGGCGCCCAAGATGGCAGCCATCTTAAATGGGCAACTTCCTTTAAAAACATTTTTGTTGTTGTTTTTGCTTGACAATTCTGTTTTCTTTCTGTTCTGAGGAGCTTGACAATTCTGGTGCAGCTCTTCACATTTTTTCTACCACTGTTTTGACTCTCTTTGTTAAATAGGTTGGCCACCCCTGCTTTAGACCATTTCTCCATTTTGTCCCAGTCTTTTTGAATTATGACGCTATCCTTCCAAAGCAGTTTCAATCCCTCCCAGCTCTAATTGGACCTACATTTGAGTCTCTTTGACTCACCTTTCAGGCCCTGATATCATGTCTCAGTAAAGTCTGGCAAATACCTAGCACTGTTGAACCCATCTCTAAGCAAGATAAAAAGTAGCATTTCCTCTCTAAGGATATGGGCCTTTTTGTGTTGCATCCCACAATTCTTCGGTTGCGAATGTGGCAAATGAATAAACATTACCATTTCTTCTTCTGCCTATGAGGAATCCAAGTGGTTAGATATTGTAGACAGGAAAAGCTAAACCATGTGCCCCCTGTCCCAGTTCTTATTGGCAAACCTTGACTACAACACATTCTAAGTTCACTCTCTACAATTTGCTACTGCATCATCAGGAATGCTTTCAGGGTCTCATTTCAGAGGGTCAGCTGACAGCTATGATCCTTTCTCCAAACTTCCTTAGATGCCATAAATACAGTTTCTAGATACCTAGCCACGGCCATGATCACTCTGAGCTCATTTGGTCTCCCAAGAGAGGTGCAGAATATATAAAAGATCTTACTTTTGAAGGACCCAAACTATTCAGTTATGAAACAGATTCCTCCTTCTACTCTCTGAGGATATTGACAGCTACACAATAGTCACTAGGAATTTACATCCTTGCAACAAGATAGTTTATTGGGTTTCTTACATGATTGTGACTTAGGCTGTTCCAATACAACCCCTCATAAGCTTCTGACATTCAAAGGAGATCAAGGATTCAAAAGAAGGGACCTCACTCTTCCACAGCAGCATCACTTGCACCTCCTTCTAAGAAACAGTGTCACATCTGAGCACCTCAAGCTGCCTATCCTTCCCAGTGCTGTGCTGTGTGATTCTTTCCAACCCCTCTTTCAGAATTGTCAGTCCAGCTTTCTTCCTGTCTCATTACCTCACAGATAGAATTTGGAGGTCATTAATGTGTGATATAGCATAAACTTTCATTCTATCCCCATCTCCATTGAGGATGGCTGGGAGGAAGAAGAGATGGAGAATAGAACTGTTCCAGGTCTGCTACACTCTGGGAAAAGCACTACAGTTGGGGGGGAACAACTCTCTTGTGCCCCTTCAACTCTGCCATGGGTTCAAGATTCCTGCCTCCATCTGGGTTTCAGCCCTGATGCTCCTGGCTTCGGGGCAGGGAGCTCAGGGCTTCACCTCTGGGCTGCACAGGGTATGAGCTTGTAACTTCAGTCCTGCACCACTCCCAGCTTCAGCCTGACAAGGGGGCATCAGGGCTTGGGACTTCAGTCCCCACACCACTCCCTGATTGATCCTCACAGGGAGGATGTCAGAGCTCAGAGCACCAGATATCAGCAACAGGGCTCTGCAGCTCCCTGAAAGACACACAGACTCTCAGCTGAAAACTGCTAATCCAGATGGGACTGGAGTAGATCACTGCAATGAAGACTCCAATACATGCCTCAACTGAAGTTTTAAATCTGAGTTGTCAGGATGCTAAAAACCAGCATAAAAACCTAGACAGTCATCTGAATAATGTTTTTAATATCTGGGAACTCAAAAATTTTTAACCCTATGTGCAAATTCACTTCCAGTGTGAGACAAAGTGTGAAAAAAGGAAAACAAAGGAAATTTGCAGGAAAAGCTATAAGACTCTGATGTCTTTCAGAATTAAAATGACATCTTGACTAGAATTATCCCACAGAATTTTTAACCAAAATATATAGCTGCTTGCAAAAAGACACTGACACAAATATTTCTCAGTTACATCAGTTTGCATCTGGAGTAACACCATTGTCTTCAATGGCTTAACTAAGAACTTAATTTCTCTGTGATACTAAGATTTACATACCTGCTGTATCATAAGAGCAAGCCTTTGCCCTAATAGGTTTATTATGTGATATTCCAACTTTCTGTTTACAGATCTTAGTATGGCAACTTGGTTCTGAAGCAACTGTTTGGATTTCAGTCTCTTTATCATCATCTATAACAAACAAATAGTAACAAGTATTATGCAGATGACAGAAGATCATGAAGCTTCACTTGTTTTCCTGAATAAAATTTACAATTGTACAGTTAATATACATTCCCATTTGCAACAATTAAGCAATATTTTTCAAAGAACATTCTAATGACTTAGATTTTTGTACATATAAAATACATTATATCTGTAACAAGTTCACAGTCAAAAAAAGATTTTAAAAAGGAAACATAATAAATACTCCTCTACTTCATGCTATGAATGCAGTGGAAATCCACATTACATTTCTTTTGATGTTACAATGGATCAGTCAGTATTAAAGTGTCTGAACATTTTTTTTGTTCAAAACTATGGAAGGTAAAATATGAGTGTTACTTGTCTTTTATATTTTGCTCTTTGTTTTAACTTTCTTTCAGGTTTGATTCTAGTTGTAATCAATGAGAGCTGTGACTTTAATAGAACATGAATGGGCCTTTAAGGATAAACTTTCAATTTCAGAGAAAAGGAACTCAGCACCTCCTTCTTTAGGCACCACATTCAGCAAACCACTTCAACATATGCTTAAGTGTATCCCTAAAAGCAAAGACTTTTAGCACATCTAATCAGATGTAAGCATGTTTAAAATAAAACGTGCTTCAGTACCTTGCTGAAACACAGAATCATAGCATACCGTTACCAGAGGCGCAATTCGGCAAGATGCTTAACACTCACAATTTCCATGCATTTTGCTTACAAAAAAAGTCTGCCATACTGCCCTTCCTTTCAGCTGGCTTTTACCAGTCCTTAAATCCCTGAAAAATTGGAGAAGGTCATGAAGAGCAACAAAAATGATTAAAAGTCTAGAAAATATGAGCTATGAGGCCAGGCTGAAGGAATTGGGCTTGTTTAGCTTGGAAAATAGAAGACCGACAGAGGACATGATAGTGGTTTTCAGGTATCTAAAAGGGTGTCACAGGGAAGAAGGGAGAAAATTGTTCTCTATAGCCTCTGATGATAGGCCAAGAAGCAATGGGCTTAAACTGAAGCAAAGGAGGTTTAGGTTGGACATTAGGAAAAACTCCTGTCTGGGTGGCTAAACGCTGGATTAAACTGCCTAGGGAGGATGTGAAATATCCATCACCGGAGATATTTAAGAGCAAGTTAGACAGATATCTATCATGGATGATATAAACCATGTTTCATCTTGCCATGAGGGTAGGGACTGGACTTGATCTCTTGAGGTCCCTTCCAGTTCAAATATTCTGTGATTCTAGCATTTAATTTCAGAAAGAAGGACTACACACAAATGAGCATGTTAAAAAAACAGTTCAAACGACATAGTGCCAAAAGTGATTTCCTGTAAACTGCATGGATTTTTAAAGACACTATAACATAGGCTCAACTTAAATGTATTCTCCAAATCAAACAATATATAGTAAAAGAACCAAAAAAGTGACACTGTGGCTAAAAACAAAGTAAAAGAAGCAGCGAGAGGCAAATAAGCATTTGTGGCCGGGTCTCCCGGGCAGCGGGGTGTCCTAGAGGTTAGGTCCTGGTGTTAGCTGGGGATCCGGGGTGTAGGACTTCCGGCCGCTTACCAGAGTCTGTTCCTTTAGTTTGGGGCATGGCCCAAAGAGGCTAATTTCCCCCTCCTCAATGGAGGTTTCCTTCATGCCAGGAGGAGGGGTTGGAGGTTTGCGTCCTGCAGCCGACCCAGCAGATAGCTCTGGCTCAGGTCCTGCGGATGGCAGAACCAGCTCCTGCCTCTTGCTGGTCAGCCCCTAACTGAGCTAGGTTCCCTCCTTTTATTCTCCCTCCAGGTCTGGCATTGGCTGCAAGTAAAACAGGGAGTGGCTAATTGGGCAAAAAGGCCTTGTTTAGCCCCTGTACTGCCAGGTTCTGCTCTCACTCCCTCACAGCATTGTTAAAAAAAATTCAAGTTAATCCTAGTGAGGAAAATAGAAAGGAGCATAAACTCTGTCAAAGTGTAAAAACACAATTAGGAAGAAGGTCAAAGAAGAATTTGAAAAACAGCTAACCAAAATTCAAGAACAGCAAAAAATATATAAAATGGTTATTTACCTCATAACTGTTGTTCTTTGAGATGTATCGATCATGTCCAGTCCACTTAGGTGTGCGCACATCGTGTGCATGGATTACTGGAGAGTTTTCCTTCCATGGTACTTGTTGGGCCAGCCGGGGAGCCCGCTGGCATATGCCCTGCTATAGTGGCGCCACATATAACACCCTCAGTTCCTTCTTGCCGGAACACTCAGATGCAGGGGAGGTGGGTGGGATGCAGAATGGACATGAGCAACACATCTTAAAGAACAACAGTTACGAGGTAAGTAACCATTTTTTCTTCTTCAAGTGCTTGCTCATGTCTATTCCACTTAGGTGACTCCAAAACTAGCCCCTCCCGGAAGCGAAGGTGAAGCCTACCTAATAGCTGACTGAAGCACAGCCCTACCTACAGCAGCATCTTCCCTGGCATGCTGTGCAATAGTGCAGTGGTCTGCAAACGTATGGACTGAGGACCAGGAAGCAAGCTCTGAGGACCAGGAAGCAAGATTTCCACAATGGGCACCTGGGCCACAAATGCTGTGAAGGAGGCCTGCGTCCTTGTGGAGTGCTCCGTAATGGGCGGGGCTGGAACCCTCGCCATCTGGTAGCACTCCTTAATACAGTCTGAAATCCAGAACAAGATGGTTCTGAAATCCAGAACACTGGTTGGCCCTCTATCCTATCCGTTAATGCTACAAACAACTGGGGGGATTTAACGAAGGGTTTGGTCCATTCTAAATAAAAAGTTAATGCACGCCTCACATGCAGTGTGTGAACAGCCTGGTCTCTCCCTGAGTTATGAGGTTTGGGATAAAACACCAGGAGAAATATATCCTGGTGAACATGGAAGTAAGACACCACCTTAGGCAAAAATGCCAGGTGGGGGCACAGTCCGACCTTATCCTGAAAAAATATGGGGGGGTCTACAACTGGGGCTCTAAGTTCTGATATTCACCTGGCTGAGGTAATGGCCACCAGGAAGGCCTTCCAGGAGAGGTGTAGGAGGGAGCACGTAACTAGCGGCTAAAATGGGGGGCCCATGAACTTCAATAGCACCAAGTTCTGGTTCCAGGGGGGCACTAGCTCTCATACCTGGTGAAAAACCCTGTCCAGACCCCTGAGGAAGCAATGTACCATGGGGTCCGAGAAGAGAGTCCCTCCTCCTGAGCCAGAGTGGAAAGTCGAGATGGCTTCTAGGTGCATGCGCACCAAGGAGGGAGCCAAGCCCTGAAGCCTAAGCCCCAGGAAGTGATCCAGGATAACTGGGACTGGTGCTTCCGTAGGAGGGAATCCCTTACCACCTGACCAGATCGCAAACTGCTTCCACTTTGCTAGGTAGGAAGATGTGGTTGAAGGTTCCGGCTTTCCAAGAGGAGCCTGAACCTGCTCCAAGCACTGTCTCTCAAAGGCCGTCAGCCATCGAGCTTCCAGGCCTTGAGGTGCAGGGAGCTGAGGTTCAGGTGCCTGAGCCTGCCAAACTCCTGTGAGATTAGGTCCAGCAACAAGGGGAGGGCCAAGGGCCGTTTCACCGACAGGGCAAGGAGGTCCAGGAACCAATGCTGCTGCAGCCAGGCCAGGGCTATCAGGATCACCAATGCCAGGAATTCTTGGATCCTGCAGATCACTCTGGGGATCAATGGAAAAGGGGGAAAGGTGTATAGTAGGCCCCGAGGCCAGGGATTCGACAATGCATCCCCTAGAGACCCCTGGCCATGGGCGAACACAGAGCAGAACCGGGGACATTTCCTGATGGTGCGGGAAGTGAACAGGTACAGGTGGGGAAAGCCCCAGCTGGAGAGGGTAACATCTACTTTTCTCAGAGACCACTTGTGACCCTGGAAGGACCTGCTGAGGCAGTCTGCCAACTTATTCTGAGTCCCCGGGAGATAGGGGGCCACCAGGAGAATTTTGTGAGTTACGCAAAACTCCCAGGCTGTATCTACACTGGCGCGATCTTGCGCCAAAGCGGCTGCTCTTGCACAAAAACTTGCTGCCTGTCTACACTGGCCGTGTGTTCTTGTGCAAGTAAACTGTTGTTCTACTGCATGAAATCAGGGCTTCTTGCACAAGAACTATGATGCTCCCGCTCAGGAATAAGCCCTCTTGCGCAACTGTTCTTGCGCAAGAGGCCAGTGTAGACAGGCAACATGAATTTCTTGCGCAAGAAAGCCCTATGGTTAAAATGGCCATCAGAGCTTTCTTGTGCAAGAGAGCGTCTACACTGGCATGGATGCTCTTGCGCAAAAACACATCTTTTGCGCAAAAGCACATTCCAGTGTAGACGTTCTCTTCTGGAAGAGTTTTTGCAGAAGAACTCTTCCGAAAAAAAAGTTCTTGTGCAAGAAGCTGCCAGCGTAAACGTAGCCCCAGAAGAGGAGAGCCTGCCTGCACAGGGGGATAGGAGTGAGCACCACTCTGTCTGTTTATATAAAACATCACAGCTGTGTTGTCGGTCAGAACCGAAACGCACCTGTTTCCAAGCTGTGGTAGAAAAATGCCGCAAGCTAAGCATATAGCCCTCAACTCTCTGACATTGAGGTGAAAAGCAAAATCCTCAGGGCCTTACGTACCTTGTGTTCGGAACTTCCCAAGGTGAGTGTCTCCACACATATCCCAAGCATCTGTCACCAGCTGAATGGATGTGGAGGGGGTGAGAAATGGTATCCCCTCTTGAACCACGCCCTCGTACAGCCTCTAGTCGAGGGATTTAAGCATGTCTGCGGGCACTGTCACCACTGGGTCCATATGCTGGAAGGCTGGGTTGTGGACCCAGTGCAGCCACAGTTGAAAGGGTCTCATCCTAAACCTGGCATGCCTCCCCACATTGGTACAGGCCGCCATCAGGCCCAACAGCCTCGTGCAACAGTAGGCCATCATGGTGGGGAACAACTGCAGCCTCAGAATGGCATCCCTCAAGGTCACGAAGCGAGCCAGGGACAGGGAGGCTCTGCCCTTTGTCA